GTGCCCATATACAATATAGCTGCCCCTTCCCCGCCCCCACCCTCTGCTGCCCCTAGTGCCCATCATACAGTATAGCTGCCCCTTCCCCACCCCCACACTCTGCTGCCCCCTAGTTCCCATAATACAGTACAGCCGCCCCTTCCCTGCCCCCACCCTCTGCTCCCCTAGTATGGGCACCTTTTCCTCATCCTTTACCCATGGAGGGGGAGGCGGAGAGGGGTCAAACTGCAGAGGAGATGTTACCAGGCTGAGCCCTGGATACTGTTTTTTCTTGCTTCTTCCTGCAGTAAAATACTTTTTGCAAGTGCAGAATGGCTGAGGGTGTGTTTGTGGGGGATTTGCTATAGGCAAGACAGCACTCTCTGTTTCCAGTGCTTCAGTAGCAGCAGACAAACATGACTGTCTTGCTCAAAAGGGGTGAGGGATGGGACATGGGGCCTTTCTCCTCTAGGGGGCACCAGCTGCCATCCGGCCCCAGGGCAGGTACTGGCTGGCTCACGGGGCGGGGAATGGGATATGGGGCCTTTCTTCATGGGAGGCTGGTTTCAAACAATTTTCCTTTCCCATGCGACGCCAGTGGGAGACAGCACGTGGGGAAAGCTGGGTGTGAAAATCTCCCGACACGGTGCAAATCCCCTTGGGTTTGATGTTTCACATAAAATACGCCCGATACACAGGGACAAACCAAAGCAGCGGTGCCCAGGCAGGGCTGCAGCATGTGGAGACACCCTCAGCCCTGGGAGAGGGTCGTCAAAGCTGGGAAATTCATGGCAAACGGCCCATGAAAGATGTGAACACCTGACCCCGCACTTCACAAGCTCAGGGCAGGAACCCCTGGGCTACAGGATTAAGTGTGTTGTTTTTCTTCATTAAACCCCCATTTCCTCCCCCCCCCTTTGCATCTACTCCACCTTCCCACTGGGGTTCTGGTTGGCTCCTGGCTGGGCCTGGTGGGGCTGCTCCAGATGGAGAGCTCTGAAAATAGGATCCTGTAGCAGCCAGCCCCCCGACACACACACTAGCCTCCTAGTCCAGATGTGTCAATTCCCAGATGGGTTTGGGGAGCATGAGCCAAGGAATTCATGGCCCAGGCCCCAAAGCATGGGGCTCCTGGCAGGATTTTAGCTCACAGCAGTGGAGGTCACCGCTAGGCCAGCCAGACCCTGGAAAGTGCTACCAAGTCCCCCCCAAATGAGGTATCTCTCTCATTCCTCTCTTAGGGGAGCTGGCGCCTGGGCAGAAAGACTTCTGGTGGTCCCTCCCGTCCGATGACAGGCACAATTGGGCTCTGTTGGATGCGGGTTAATTTCCTCCCATGACATTAAACAATCAGAGGTCACGGCTGCTTCTAACCAGGATTTGAACCCACGACCACACACGTGGTAAACAATGTGCACAGCCCAGGACATGGGAACTCCCAGTGCTCGGCTTGATGGCTCTGTCCCAACCCGCTCGTGGCCTCTCCTGGTGCCAGAGGTGTTTCCTGTAGCAAGCAGCCACAACCTTGCAATGGAGATACACCGATGGTCTTTGTTCCCAGCTGCATGACTTTACGTTTAGCCAGATCCAAACACACATTGCTTGCTTAGGCCCAGTTTACCAACAGATCCACATCATCCTCTAGCAGTGACCACCCTCGTTAGTTACCATCCCCCGTCTTTGCTGCAAACTTGATCTGTTTTTTCCAGTCTGTTGATACAAATGGTCAATAGCCCAGGAGATCCACCTGGTCCATAGGAGGCCCAACCTGGCAACAGCTGAGGGCCCAAACCCTGACACGGTCCGGGGGAGAGGAGGAAAAGTGTGGCCCCTGGATCTGGGCGTCAACACCCGCCACAACGGGAGCACCGATCAGGTCGGGGTCTGGGCAGCAACCAGCACAACGGGGGCCCTGATCTTGGTTGGAGTCTGTGCAGCTGTGACCCTTAGCACCCCCGCATGCCGCCTGGCAGAAGTCCCTCTGTTCTGTAACTCCTCTGAGGCCCAGCACACTCACTGCCCCTAACAGAGGGCTATCACAGTATTTCTCTGCAAGGCGTAACAAAGGAAAGCTGGTGACACACTGCTCGGTAACACCATGGCCTGACGTAGGCATGGACGGAGCACAGAGTTATGTGTTTGTGCCACACAGATGGTCCTCACACGTGTTTCAAGGACAGACTTGATCTACAAATTCGTCCTGACACAGGAATGTGGCTTTCCAGCTCTGCCTGAGGCCAGAGACTTGGGAGTTACATTCTTCTGAGTCAACAGGAAAAGCCAGCTGAGAGCCGGGTGAGGGAGCCAGGAGTGTGTCGGCTGATTGGAGAACTGTCAGCGGGGCAGAGACCTTTATCTAGGGGTGCCTGTCTAACAGCAACTGGACTATAAGGTGCAGGGGAGACATCTCCTTTGTGCCCATCACTCCAAGGGGCTGGCTTTGTCCATACGGTGGATCTCCTGCCATGAGGGAGGGTGATGCTGAAAAGTTGCTTTGGGTCAGGAGCCTGCCTGCAGTGCCATAGCCGTCCACTGGTCCCCCAGCATTGATTAACTCTTCCCAGCCCTGGTTTTCCCCAGATGGTGCATTCTGCACCATGCGGCCCTCTTCTGGGCAGCTCAGATATTGAAGATCCATCCCCCCCCTCCCCCCTTCCCCAGGGAGGGTCAAACCAAGTCTGTTATTTTAACTGGAATTATCAAATGATTCACATTAAACACAGCACTGGATGGGTTCAGATTAAAGATAAAGCAAGTTGATTTACAGACTCAGTGAGAGCTTTCAAGTGAGTTCGAGCATCGGGCATGAAAGTCAGGAAAGACAAGAGAAATGAAGATAAAACACTTCCCCGCAGCAAAAATCTTAACAAGCTAGATTTGGTTGAAGGGAAAATCCTTCCCACATGGTCCCAGCAACCTGGCAAACCATATCTCAGGTCAGGATCAATCCCCAAAGCCAAAAAGCTGGTCCCTTTGGCTTCTTAGGGGACTGAGAGATAATCTGGGGTGTTTTTGCCCCTCACTTTAATAGTCCAGTCACCCTCTGAAATGCAGTTTCTGGAGGGTTACCCCTAGTAAAGGTCATTCCCGCAGTGAGGACGGAGACACGGGGTCTCATGGTGACAGAGCCCCTGTTCCTTGGCAAAGACAGGCTGTTTGACTAGTGAGGGCCCCTCAACTTTGCTTACTCC